CATCGAAGCTCATGCTAGCAAAGCCCACAGTCATCTATTGGCCACGCAGCTCTATTGGCCATTCAATCTGAGAGATGCTCCCTTAACTCTGAGCTGGATTCTTCATCTTCTGTGGAAGCCAAGGGCCACTGTGCCTTCCTGTAAGGGCCATGATGAAGAGATGCTCTGGCCGAGAAGAAGACTCAGGCCCACAACTGCCATCCAATCTAGTGTGCTGGCAGGAAGGTACAGGCTGTAGTTAGAAAGAGACTTCAGTGATCCCGGGCAAGCATCGCAAGCCCCTTGGTTCTCAGGCTGCTGCTCTGTCCAGTACAGTCTGCAGGTCCCCACTTCACAGGGCTAACCTATGGGCACAGAGGACACCAGACCCTGGCCTTGAAAGAGGCCTTGCCCTTGGTGCAATGCCCACTACTTGACATTTTTACTCATTTCAGAAAAGGGACCTTACATTTTCAATGCAAGCTGAGTTTCTTCTTCGTTTGCTCTCTTATTTCCCAGGATGCTCTGTCCACCTCTACCATCCCAGTCTGTATTCCCATCAGGGTCCTGAGGGCTCTTGTTACAGCTTGCTGCACTGCGTCCTACTTGAAGCTGGCTTTGCCGCTGAGATTTTTGTCACGTGACTCTTCTCACTTGGTGCCAGAAATTTTACTTATTTGTTTATTTGTTTGTTTATCTCTCTATTTATTGAGATAGGATCTTAAGTAGCCCAGGCTGACCTCAAACTCACTGCAGAGCTTGAAGGTGACCCTAAGCCTCTGACCCTTCTCTCTCCACTTCCCAAATGTCAGGATTCCAGGTGTACCAGAGCACACCTGGCTTATTTTAGGGTTCCTTCCTTTTGCATATTTCCTAGCTGGTTCTGAGATACAGATAGGAGGAGCCAGCTCAGCTGTCATGTTGATACATAATGAGTACAAGCCGCTGGTGCCACTTCTCCTGACTGATGATGGCAGAGGTCTCAGGGTATTAATGATGGCTGGCAGCACTTCACTAATCAATCTGCTGGAGGTCAACGAGCCAGACAGAAAGGCAGCTGGAAACCCTTCTGGAAGGGACTTGGTTCAGCTCTTCGGGGGTCCCTGACAGCCAGTCCTCAAAGCACTGATTCCTGGTTCCTCGATTTCAGAGCAGTTTATAGCACTGAGATGTCACCCCAGCCCTTCCCCATACTCCCCCTCGGAGATGGAAGGAACTGGGCTCAACTTCTAGTCCCTTGCTGATGCTGCTCCTGTTGGATCTCAGTCAAGAGCCTGCACTCTCCAAGCCTCGATTCCCTGTGTGTAAAATAAGGGTTTGTGGAAAATGAGTTCCTGAATAAGCCCTGGGTTCAGCCACCAGCACAGAAGGAAAGAGAAAGACCACACAGGAGGTCAGGCCGAGTCTTTTGTCCTCCACAGCCCTGGTTCCCATTTAAAAAATATGTGATCTTGGTGGCTGTTTTGTACTTGTACAAAACTTCGAAAATGCAGAAGGCCTGCATTTTTTTTAAGATTTGAGGATATTTCCCACAATGTAGACAAAATTAAATTCAACAATAGACTCCCAGGTGGGCTCAGTCTAAGATCTCCTCCCTGTATATACCTTTTTAGCTGTTTATTGGCACTAGCTCCTTAGCATCTGTCGCTTGACACCCTACCAACCACTGTGAGATCAGATCAAACCAACTGGGACAAATCTCATCCCACTCAAGAGGGACAATTGAGACCAAACCACCAGATGGCTAATCAGAGAGGTCTTCAGATACGGATGGCAGGGGTGGGGAGTTGTCAGATCAAAATGAAGTCATGCTGGCTCAGTGGCACTTGCCTATAATCTCAATCTCTGAGAGATCAAACCTAGGAAGATTGTAAATTTGAGGCTGTTAGCCAGACGGTTTCAAAGCAAGAACAAAAAAGCTCAGTGACCCATATCAGGCTTCCAAAAATAACTCCAGAGGAGAAGTTACCCGATGTGGTTAACTGACTGCCTTCTAACCTCCTTGCAGCCTGTTCATATTTGTTCAGATGTAGAAATATTGAGAAAACTTCCAGACTGAATCATAGCTGTCTGGTGCACTCCGTTGTGCACACCTGTGTGCTGGAAAGACCTCTTACTGATGAGCAGCTTTATCAGTAAGAATGTATGCATGAGGGAGGGATGCCAGCCCCCATGGGCACTGAGTTTACAGACAGGACTTTCTACGAGCAGTGGGAACTCCTCCAAGCAGGGCTATCATCGGGTATCTGCCGAAGTATCTCAAGTGCCGTTGCCATAGTCTGTAGTTTACTTCTTTCTATAGATGAAGATGTTTCTTAATGTCCTCATTGTGCAGGCTATCTCTTTGTGTGATGCCTAGAATCCTCCTGAGACATGCCATCTCAAACACATTCAGCCACTATTCTGAGGAGCGTTTCATTATCCAGGTTTCAGAGTTGTAAAGAAGGCAATCCGGGCTGATCTCTGTGAGTTCAAGGCCAGCCTGGTCTACAAGAGCTAGTTCCAGGATAAGCTCCAAAGTTACAGACAAACCCTGCCTCGAAAAAACCAAAAAAAAAGACGAAGAGGAAGGCCAAAAAAAAACACTGGATAGACAGCATAAAGGATGACGGTGGAACCTTGGGTATGACAATAACACAAGCATCTAGGACTGCCCAGGAAAGGAAAACTGGAGAACCACCATAAACGGGCTGCCCATGCACGGTTCAGCATTGCTGGGGCATAACTGATGCTGATGGCTAGCAGTGGGGGACCACTGGGGACAGAAGGAAAGAGGGGCACTTTCATGTGCTGTATTCTAGACACACCTGGACTTGAGTGTGTTTAATGTGAGCACATGGTTAACGGTGGCAGCATTTCCCAGTACACTCCTCCTCATCCTCTGTCACATTTAAAGGGCAAAAATAAAACATGTAGATGGAGCTTTCTGTCAGGACTGCTGGCTCCCAAATAACCACACAGAGACTTAATATTAATTATAAATGCTTGGCCGACAGCTTAGGCTTGTTACTAACTAGCTCTTACAACTTAAATTAACCCATACTTCTTATCTGCGCTATACCACGTGGCAGTACCTATTTTCAGCATGGCATATTCATCTTGCTTCTCTCCACACCTCCTGGCAACTCCCCGTGACTCCGCCCTTCTTTTTCCCAGCATCCTCTCAGTTTGGTTTTCCCAACTCAGCTCTTTTTGCCTAGCTATCAGCCGGTCGTCTTTGCTAATCGAATCACAAGGCTCCCTGGCAAAGACACATCTTCACAGTGTACAAAAAGATGATTCCATAGAATTTTTCTCTTACCCGAGACCCACAAAGCAAAAGTCACAAACTCAGTTCCTATGAAGCCAGAAGAGGAGGTCTAAGTGAGTGAAGAAGACCCAGCCACAGGAGCACTGTGGGAACTAGGAGGCCCTCAAGATGAAGTGCTATCAGGAGGCCGCTCTGACCTTGGAGACATCCCAGATGATACACCCACTCTGTGCACTGGGCACCAAGTAAAGGCCCTTTTCAAGGTCTGCATCAAAGGCTTCTCTCAACAGTTCTAAGAGGAGGACTATTAGCGTCTTCATTTAAACTGCAACTCAGAGAGGTTGAACCACTGATCCTAAATCACACAGCTGGACTTGCAGGACCAGTTTGACTAAGAACTTACTCTTAATTGGTCTTTATACCTTAAATACCCCAAGCAATAGTACTCTACACAGGACCACCTTGCCTCCTTCAGACACTCTTAAAGACCATGGTAAACAGAATGCACGCACACCCAGTATGAGAGCTTAGACTAACTGAAATGCAGCTAACACGTCGTGAGAATTTTAGCTTTATTAGTATTGCGTTTATTCTTTTTGGTTAATGAGACTGAGTCTGGGGACTACCCTGAAGCTCACCATCCTCCTGCCTCTGCTTCCCAAGTACAGTGGCTATAGACCTGAGCCACCATCCTGTCTTGAGGATTATTGGAATAGTTTTCCTGGAGTATAAATGCATGGCATAAAAGTGGCTTATACTAAGTGTACCGAAGTGACCCTCCATGCCCAATCATCCCCAAGTTTTTTTAACCCTATCCTACCTCCCACTCTTAGCCCCAAATGGCCATTGACCTGTTCTGGCTCTCCAGAACTTTGCCAGTTTTTGGCCTTCTGTGAAAATGAAATCCTAAGGCACATTTTACCTGTGGCTAGGATTTTCCCTTTGGCATGGCAGTCCCGAGACTTGTCCCTGGATGGAGGGATCAACTTCTTTCATTTAAAAATTATTTTATTATTATTGGGGGGCACATGTGCAGGTCAGAGGATATCTTTGTGGGAAAGCTGGTACTTTCTTCCCCACTTGACCTGGGTCCCAGGGTTAGAACTCAGACCTTGGGCTTACACAGCAAGTGTTGTGCCTGCCGAGCTGCCACCCCAGCCCCAGATTGCCCTTTTAATCCCTAATGAGTGGGGTCCACTCCAGAACAGTCTGTGGTTACATTTCACAGGCGACACGCATCTGGATTGTCCTGCATTAGTATTTGTGTCTTCTCATTTTAGTCTTTTGTGCATGTATGTCAGACAAGCTCTTGCGTGGTCAAGACTGGCCTTGAACTCCGAGTACTGGAATCACAGTCCTGCACCTCCAGGTCAAGATCATATTTTGCTTTCGTTTCTTTCTTAAGTTATAAAAACAAAAGGGTTAATTTTGTCTCACGGTTCTGGAGGTCCAAGGCAGAAGGACCACAACTATGCCAGCAAGGGCTTCCTATGGGGTCAAGTCCCCAACAGCGCAAAGAGTCAGGTGAGAGAGAGTTTTTGGCACAGGATTAGTCAGGAATTGAAATGAGAGTCTTTGCTTCTCTTGAGACACTATGGGAGTGGAGTTGCTGGGTAACCTGGTGTGTGTACTTTTAGCTACCTGCGAAAGTACCAAACTATGTTCCACAGCGGCTGCTCTCATGTTCACATCAACAATGTAGTAGGGTCATTTACAGGGCTTCTTCAAGTGAGTGTTACGTTCTACAGTCCCTTTCTTTTTTAAAGCGATCATGTAAGCACCAGTCTTCCGGATTTCACCCGTTCTGCTGGGAGGAAGAACAAAAGATGCATGAGCTCTCGGCGTGAAACAACAGCCACACTCCACAGGCTGGAAACTCAAAAGTCCTGGAAAGCCCCGCAAATATGCATTCCACAAAGGACAGGCAAGAGCTCCCGAGAGCCAGACAGGAGAACTTGGCCGGTTTCTCAGCCCCGCCCACTCCGCTCCAGGAGGCGGGGCTTAGCTAAGGAGGCGGGGCCTAGGGGCAGGGGTGAGAGCACGCGGCTCCGGATGGTTCCGCCTACCCAAGGATAGGCTGTTTCTGACAAGGGAAGAGCTGATGGGTGGAGCCCAAAGCCTGCGCTCCGCCCGTGAAGCCCCGCCCACCGCGCAATGCTCCGCTCGGGGGGCGGGCCTGGGGATGGTGGGGCAGGGCCCGGAGGGGCGGGCTCACGGCCACGGCCCCGCCCACCGCACGGTGTTGGGGCTGGTTCCCGAGTGGGCAGCCCCGGAGCAACGCTTGCTCGCGGCGCGCCATGGCTGGGCTGCTGGTGCTGCTTGGCCCGGCGGGAAGAGTGGGCGCCCGGATACTTCCCCGAGCCCCTTGGCTCCTGGGAGCCGCCACCTCCTGCGCTCCACCGCTCTGGGCCTTGGCCTTGTCCCGCCCGGGGCCGGACTCCCGGCTGCTGCACACGGCCCGCAGGGACTGCCTCAGCCGTCAGGTAAGCCTCCCCACACTTGCTCGGACCCTGAACCCCCAAGTAACCCAAGCGCCGTGCCAGGGCCAGTCTCAAGGACAGCTTTGCATTGCACCTGCCCAAAATGTGTCACCTCCGGGGACCCTGAGTTCTAAGATCCTTAGAATCGGGAAAACATCTCTTTCAGTTAGCAACCTGAGAAACTGAGGCAGGAGGTGGTGTGGTGCTCGGCCCAAGGTCATGGAGTCGCCTGCATAGCCTCAGTTTCTAAAGCCAGAACAGTGGCGTTACCGAGCGGATTGCAAGGGGCCTGAACTCACTATGAACTTCCAAGCCGGCCTCTGAAGTTGTCCATTCTGAAGTTCAGTTCAGGCCTGGGCACTGGGCCCAGGAGGCGTCTTCTTGGGGTGCCGGTGTATCTAACGCCTCCCTGTGCCGGTTGCTCCACCCTTTTTATCTAGCTGGAAGAGCAGGCTCTCAGGGCAAGCAGTCCATCCTGCTTCGTTATGGTTGCCTTCCCTGAATGCTAAGAGTGAAAACTAGCTTCCGTTCAGCCAGCAGCGCAGCTCAAGTGGGTCTCGGAAGTAAGTAGTGGAGTACCCAGATCGGAAGCGTTAAGTCGTGGCGCAAGCCTAGATCCCTGCAGGAGAGGGCTTCCAGCTCCTGAGTCTGAACCCGCCCATCCCTGGGCTGTGTGACCTCAGACCCAGAGCCCAGGAGGTCTGGACCTGAGTCTGGCCTTTCAGAAGGCTGAAACTAGCACCTTGCCACCAAGAGTCTGGAGGACCACCACTATGAATCAGGCAGTTCTGAGCCCTGTCTGCTCTAGTAGCTTTTCAGTAAGTAGCCAAAGGGATTAGTCCCTGTACTTGGGTACCTCACACAAACATGGATGGGCTTCCTTCCTTCCCCTCTCCTCTCCTGGGTGACAGACAGGACACTGGTGCCTCATCTCTAATCCTGAGCGTAGGGCAGGATGCTTAGAACGTAGCCGCCTGCTTCCTGATGATTCCGCTTCCCTCTCCTCCAGGAAGTCTTCCCTGACAGCCAGTGGTCTGCCTCCCACTCACCCACCCGCGCGCGTGCCCTCACACACACACACACACACACACACACACACACACACACACACAGTCGCTTCTCTGAAGTTCCAATCTCTGCCTCTGTGATCTGGAACAATCTCTCACCTGTTCCACCACCTCAGCCCTGCTGGCAGCCCAGACTCTGCCTCGATCGGTGTGTGTCCACAGCAAGGATGAGTGTGGTCTCCAGCTCCTAGGATCCCTGTCTTTGCTTGCTAAGTCAGTAACCTTGATCAGATGCTCCCACGGTTCTGTGTCTATAGAATGAGATGCTAATAAGTCTTTTCCCAGAGGGTGGATATGATAAGAGAGAGCATGCTAGCTGGCATCTGGTACATCATGCCAGAATTGCTGTCCTCGGTGTGATTACACACCACAGCAGGGCCCCTGAGCCCAGGGGCCAAGCTTGCCTCTTCCGCTGGTTGAGAGATGGATGGAATCAGAACCTAACAGAAGGTTCGAACAAAAGATACTCCTCACAAAACCTTCGCTGTGGGGGAAGGGCCTGCCTAGGCCTCAATCCAGCATCCCACTCCATCTCCATTCTGGCTGCCTTCCTTAGGAGGCCAGCTGGGGTCTCCAAATGTTCTAGACATTAAATCAAGTGTCTGCGGGACATGCCCTCCTCTGCCTACAACAAGGACTGAACTGTGTCAGAGAGGGAGAGATACAGTGCCCCAGAGGCCTGCCTTTTTTTTCACAAAGTATATTTTCTCTTAACCTTATTTTTGTATGAAAACCCATAACAGTAAGAAGGCAGACTTGGGAGGACTCAAAAATAAGGTTGATTGGGGTTTATTGTGTAAACTCAAATGATCCATGAAAATATTACCCCTCCTCCAATGGATGTCTGCTAGAAGATCACTCTCTCTTGCTGGCCAGGAGCGTGGCTGAGCTGGGACAGAGCTTGCCTGTCCTCAGGCAGGCTCTCAAAGCAAAGGAAATGCCCCTGCTGGACTGAGCCCACAGTCCAGGCCCAGCGTGCAAGGGAGCAGCTCTGGGGAGATCTTGTGGCCCCAGAGGGGAGGGGGGAAGAGAGAGGCCTGCCTTTTTCCGTCACATGATTCAGGGTCATGTGGACCAAGTGGAGCCCACTTGGGGCATGGGGGGGGGGAGCACTGTTATGCGAGTAGCTTGCTGGCTTCCCTTATCTGACGAGCAGCACCCGTCCCACCAGCCCCTCGAACTCCCTCTCCTTGTCTGTCTTGGTGTCCTCACCCTGCTATGTCACTGTTTGTTGTCCCCTGCTCCCTAGACTCATAGTCTCCTTTGAGGTTGGTCTGTTTTGCTCATTGGACTGTCCTCTACTCTGGAACACTCTGACCCAGAGAAGATACAGAAGGCCAAGTGCTGGGACTGGGATTCGGTTAGCCCCTGTGCTGTCCTTGGTTACATACTCAACCCCTCGGGGCTCTGCAGGTCCTCTTCCGTTCGTGGGGGTGTTGTAAGCCTTGTGCGGACTAAAGTTTTCACCACAAAGTTTTCACCACAAAGTTTTCACCGCACTCAGAACACTCTCGGTACGAAGTCAGCACGTGCGGTCCTTATCAAACAAGTGGAACCGGGTGTCCCAGCACTGTGGTCAAGTTCCTGCCCCTTTTCTGATATGGCTTTCCTCTGGCTGTTTTGAAACACCGTCTCGCGTACTCCAGCCAGACTGGCCTCCAACTCAATAAGCCTGAACTTCTGATCCTTCTGCTCCCGCCTCCAAAGGGCTGGGATTATCAGCTTAGTCCACTACACTGGGTTTATACAGTGCTAAGAAATAAAAAGCTTTGCACATGCTAGACCATCTACCATGGAGCCAAATCCCCGCTTGAGCACTATGAGGTCAATGTCACACACTCAGGGCAGTCCAGAGCACTTGGGGGCAGGAAGCAGTGATACTCTATGGACAATGAGTGTCTACAAATGCCCCCATTGCTTGCAGATCACGCTCATAAATCCCTTTGGTTTGGCTTCTTTAAACCCCTCAAGAACTTGGAAGAAAAATGCATGGCCCTTCATGTTCTGCAAGAGTAGCCATTTCTAATAGGAGAGACTTTTCCAGGATGTTCTGGATCTGGAGGACAGGAGGAAAAGCTGCCAGCACCTTCTTTTATTGGCCAGCACTTGCCACTCTCCCATTCTTGAATCCTGCACTCCCTGCTGAAATGCTCACAGAGGCCCTGGTTCTCCCTGATAAGTAATCCTCTCCCTCTGGGCTGTGCTGATAGGATAGTCTGCAGCCCCTCCCAGTGCCTGTATCTCCCTTAGGCCAGTGTCAGTCAAAAGCCCATTGAAGTTTGGCCAGGGCAATCTCAGTTATGGCCCATTCTCCATGTCCCAGAGCTGCCACAGCTGTCCCTAATGAAGCCCCTTTGTCTCATACCCTCAGGTTTGGCAAAAGGCCTTCTGGCCCAGAAAGGAGACTAGAAAGGCAGCCAGACTGCCATCTAGAAAATAAACAGCAGCTTCTGCAGGGCTGGCAGAGCAAACATCAAAAAAAAAAAAAGACTTTGTTTAGAAAAGGGAGCAGGCTGAAGAGATGGTTCGATGGTTAAGAGCACTGGCTACTCTTGCAGAGGACCTGGGTTCAATTCCCAGCAACCACAGACAGCTCACCACCATCTGTAACTCCAGTCCCAGGAGATCTGAGGCCATCTGGCCTCCATGGACACTAGGCATGTACTTGGTGCAAAGGTGTCCATACGTGCAGGCAAACACCCATACACATAAAATAAATAAATCTTAAAGGGGGAGCCTTGGAAAGCCTAATGGAGGTACTGTTTGATTGGGACTGACAGGCTACAGTGAAGGGACTCATAAAGGAGGTAGCATCTGCATTTGTATCAGACATGTGGGATGGATGGCGTGCGTACGCGCGCACACACACACACACACACTTCACCCCTGGAGCACAGTCTGAGCTAGCAGGGCCAGGACAGAGGGTCAGGTGAGCAGGGCTTTCTCTCAAAGCTTAGTGATTACTTTCCAGTCACCTCTGGAACTGATGACAAGGCCCAGTCCCAGGCCTTTCCCCAGATCTGCAGAAGTCAAAGCTGGCCTCACGCAAGTAGGTACAAACAGAAGAGCACGCGAGCTGCCCACTGATCAGCATCCACGGTCAGCAGCATTTGTGCACCTGGGCTCTGGGGAGGGACACAGCAGGGTCACGAGCCTTATCCCACAAGTGCAAAGTGAGGGCCCAGAGCTGCAGCAAGTGGCTGCCACAGCAAGGATAGACCTGGTGGTCCCCTGCAGTGTGGTGCATCTGGCTGTGTAGATTCAGCTCGTGGGTTTCCTTCTCATTAGGGGGGTCCTGGCTCATTTCCTGGGGATCCTGGCATGCTCTTTGCCTTTGCAGACTCACATGTTAAAATCAGGAAAGAATCTGCCCAGCTGCAAGATCAATAACCAAAGGTGACTGGCAAGAGCCAGACTCATAAATTCTTTGGTTAAAAGCACTCTCTTGCCAGGTGGTGGTGGCGCATGCCTTTAATCCCAGCACTTGGGAGGCAGAGTCAGGTGGATCTCTGTGAGTTCGAGGCCAGCCTGGTCTACAAGAGCTAGTTCCAGGACAGGCTTCAAAGCTACAGAGAAACCCTGTCTCAGGGAAATAATAATAATAATAATAATAATAAACTCTCTTGTAGAGGTATATTTTGTCTAATCCAGACAAAATGTGTGGCTGGGCTCTCTCTTACCTGTTCCAAAGCTGTAGACTCTCAGACAATAATCCAGCGTGTGCTAAGATCACCCCATGTAATCAATCAGATAGCCCAGTGGGAAACACTTGCCTTGTACACCTGACAGCCCTGAGCTCAATTCCTGGTCCCCACCGTGTGGTTTGAATGAGCATGTCCCCATAGGCTCAGGCGTGTGAACACTAGGTCCCCAGTTGGTGGCTCTGATTGGGGAGGTGTAACCTTTCACTGGGGGTGACCTTTCAGTATAATCCTGCTCCACTTCCAGTTTGTTAGCATTCCCATCTCAAGCTCCATGTCTAGATCCCATCTGCCAAGTCCTGCAGTTAGTTAGGAGGTGACGTGGACATCTCCGGGGCCACCGGGGCTGACCTAGCCCTGGCTTAGTGGGAATGTGCGTGATAATTGGTGTCTATAATAATAATATTAAGTGGGTAGAAAGAGGTATAAAACTCAGGTAAGGGTAAGCATCTGTGGCAGCCACCAACCTTTGCTCTGTGCACAGGAGCCCAACAAAATCACTGAGCCAGGAAGCGGTGCCAAGAGCACAGAGGGAAAGCTAAGCAAATCACAGCAACTGAAGAAGGTCTTCCAGGAGTACGGGGCCGTGGGCGTGTCGCTGCACATTGGGATCTCGCTGGTCTCCTTGGGGATATTCTACACAGTTGTTTCCAGGTACGATTTTCAACAGCGTTCACTGGCTGGGATGTGGTAGTGCTGTGAGTGCCGGGGTGGCTGAGACTACAAGTCCCAGGCTAGCCTGGGCTTTAGCCTCAGGCCTGTCTACAGGTAACTGAAGGAAGGAAGTGCTGGGAGCATAGTCAGATGGTAGAATGTTTGCCCAGAATTCACAAAGCCTGGGTTCCACTCCTCCAACAGCACCAACCACACCTATAATCCCAGCATTCAGAAGGTGGAGGCAAGAGGATCACAGTTCCATAGAATTTGGGGCTAGTCTGGGCTGCATGAGACTCTATCTCAAAAATATTTTTTTGTTTAGTTTTGTTTTATTCCTGCTGTAAGGTAAACTAAAATGTGGATGAATTTTGTTGTTGGTTTTGGAGTTTTTTTGTGGGGGAGGAGGTTCATTTGCCAAAACCTACCTATTCATCCATTCCTTGTATTATAATACTGGGTCATCTGGGTCAACAAGATGGCTCAGCAGGTAAAAAGTGCTTGTCAGAAAAGTCCAGCTATTTGAGTTCTACCCCAGAACTCACAGCGGAAAGAGAACCAACTCCTGGAAGTTGCCCTCTGACCTCTGCATGTGCGCCATGGCATGTGTGTTCCTCATATTCATGCACACAATAATCATAAGGGTTTTTTTAATAATAAAAAGTAAAAATACTGTCACCCTCCTAAGCAACTCAGTTTCTTCCTTTAACTTCCCGGCTGTGATGTTTTCTTTGCCTCTTTCTCCCCCCAGTGGCATCGACATGTCTGCAATCCTGCTTAAGCTTGGCTTCAAAGAGTCCCTGATACAATCCAAAATGGCAGCCGGTACCAGCACATTCGTGGTGGCCTATGCCATCCACAAGCTGTTCGCGCCCGTGAGGATCAGCGTCACCTTGTTCTCTGTGCCCCTCGTCGTTAGATACTTCCGCAGAGTGGGACTCTTTAAGCCTCCAGCCACCAAGCCATAAGGAAGCCAGTTTCTTCTGAACTACAGGATTTGGATTGGTTTCAGGGTGGGGTTTTCTGGGGGAGTATGGGGCAGAGGCTAATGACTGTGTTCCTTGTGAGTTGATTTTATTTTTGCCAGCAATAATCTGGTGTTTTAATTTACTTTTTAAAAAATGATATTCCTCAAAGAACCATGTTCGTGACTTAAAATGTCACCAAGGCTTCAAAATGAGTTGACAGCCACTCATGGTGGCCCAGACCAGTAAAGCCAGCTACTGAGGAGGCTGAGGCAGGAGGATCTCAAACTCAAAGCCTGCTTGAGCTACTGAGATCGGGGTCAGTGAAGAGAGGGCTGAGGGCATTGGCAGCAGAGCCCTCGCCCAGCACACCAAGAGCCTAAATTTGATCCCAGTACAAAATGGGATTGCCAACAGAATGCCCCTTTAGATCATTAGGCAGGAGTTTGCAGCACCCCACAGGGCTAACCTTTGCTCAGGTTCCTGAAAAGCAGTGGTTAATTTGCTGGCTTTGAAAACGCCCTCTCGCCTGATTTATCACTGGCAGCAACCTGCAGTTAACACGCAGTATTCTGCAGACAGCTGCCAGCACCGCGGTTAATGAAGGAAAATTAACAATCCCTAATCACAGTCTCCATTAACATCAAGCCCTTGACATTCGCAACACTTGCTCCGGGGAAAAGCAGCCATGGGCTTCTGGTGTGTTTCACTGACTCCAGAGCTCCTTCGTGTCTGGATATGATGAGGCTGTTTGTCTGCAATCTCACTGATAATGGGGCGGGCAGTATTGGTTGCAAAAAATGGAAACGCGGCCCAGGTGTAATGGCATCACTTGGCTCCTGATGCCCACACTCAGGGGAACTCAGATCCTTCCATAGACGCTAAAAAGCATCCTAGCTCTCTCAGACACTCCTCTTAGCTATCGAAACCTTGAGACATTCCAGAGTAACGCCATGTTTACAGTGTGCCACTGTTTATGCTTTTTAATTGAATTGAATCATATGCATGAAGTATTTCTACCACGTTCCAAAACAAACCAAAAAATGGAAAATATTGTCTGTTCCAAGTAGAAGACAACCATGTAGGAACTACAAGCCAAGGGAGAGAGAGATCTTAATTAGGGTTCTATTGCTGTGGTGAAACATCATAACCAAAAGCAATTTGGGGGGTGGGGGAGTTGATTTCACTCACAGGTCCATGTTACAGTTCATCATCAAAAGCAGTGAGGGCAGGAGCCTGGAGGCAGGAGCTGATGCAGAAGACATGGAAGGGTGCTGCTTACTGGCTTGCTCATCAGCCTTACTGAGGACCGAAAGCCCACTCACAATGGGCTAAACCCTCCCCCATCAATCACTAATTAAGAAAATGCTGTGCAGGCTTGTATACAGTCCTTTCTTATGGAGGTATTTTCTCAATTGAGGTCCCCTTCTGATGACTCTATGTCATCTTGACATAGAACTAGGCAGCACAAGGAGCTGGACATGTTTAACTACAGTCCACCACGGGAGGGTCAGTGTAGAGGGCGGTTAGAGTAGGAACCTCAAGCTGCTCAATTCAGGAGCAGGAATTGGTTCCCTCGCTCAACCCTCCCCTCTGGGCGGGCACTTGTTATGTCATAGCCAAAAGAAACTCCAGTCCCTCAAGCCCCAATCCAAAAGATCCAGGAATGGGGTCGACCTGGGCTAAAGGATTTCTGGTGGTTACATAAAAGCCAGCATTCCTCAGAACTTGTGAAACCGGTTCCCCTCTACCCAAAGGAGACATTTCCCTTACCTCTGACAGAAGGGAGCTAAGGCTACCTGTGGCTATCAGCATATCAAAGCTCATGCTGGCATCACAAGCCAAACTCCCTTGAACTCACGGGCTTCCCTTCCCCAGCTACTCTCACAATCCTCGGCTCCTGCTACTGTATTCTCCTCTCTCACAGGTAGCCCTGCTTAGGTCCAGTCTGCTGGCCATGTTCCGTTTACTTCTCTCTTTGCTGTGGAATCCTTCCAGATGCCCCTGGCTGTTCTCTCCCATAGCTAAAGAACCTTCCCCTTAGGCACCATGTCAGTTTATACAGCTCTACCCTGGGGAGCCAGCGTTTGACGTAGGCTCAGCTGCATGGTGAGAAGTGTTGCATTTCTTTTTCTGCTCACAATTCCGTTGACAATCAGAAAACACAGAAGGCACAGCTAGCTAGCAGGAACACATGACTGAGATCTGGCTGACAGTTTCTTAGTCCACAGTCACCCACACCATTTGTCTTGGTTAACATTTAAAAGAATTTTTGTGAGACAAACTCTCCACTCGTGACATCTTTAAAGCGAGAGTCGGTCTTTTCCTCTTAAAGCAGCCCACAGCTGGAGCTTGTACTAAGATCAGGATGTATTACAGAAACTAATCCCAAAGACAGCCACATAGCTGAGCAAGAAGCCCCAGGTCAATGTCGGGGGGGCTTGTGTGGACTAGCTGGACAGAGGGGGTGTCTCTCCATCTTGCCCATTCAGGTTCCTTAGTAACACCTATGCAAAGAAATACATTGAAAGTAGCAATAAAACTAATTGTACCCACAACATGTGTCTTCCAAGCCAGCAGCCAGAACCAGGGGTGAGTTGAGAGGTTGGAAGACTAAAGCACCATTATAAACCAGCAAACCAAGCAGATCTGTTCCTGTTATCTTCAGTGGAACTGGAGCAAGGCAACTATCTTAAAACGTAAACCATTGTTTGCCTCTCGTTTTCTAAGCAGACCCACTGATCAGCTTAGATTCTGTGAAACCAATAAAAACTTTTGTAAAATGATGTGTTCTGTCATCTGTTAAGCCATTGCTGCTGCCAGCTAGGAAAGCATCCTGTGAATGTGGCGGCAACCAGCTGCTGGTGTGAGCTGCAGGCACCAGTGTCCCACACTCGGCTTGGATCCCTGTCGTCCCATCACAGGTAACGGCAGCTGGGTGGACAGGACTTGGGATGGTGCTATATAGACTGGGGACCAAAGGCTTACTTATCCCCCTGCAGTTCCACTCAGGCTTGCTGTGAAGTGTGAGGACGCTCCGGCTGACGTTTTACACTGACCACTTGCATTTTCTATCACCTGACATCTAGTGTCCTGAGTTTGCTATGAAAGCCTGTTTCTCTAATTCCAAGCTCCCCGCTGGTTGATGAACAGATAATACTGGCTGCTATAAACTCGACATGTTAGGATTATAGCCAAGAGACCAGAAAAGCACACCTGCTCACTCTAGCCAACAGTAACCAGGTGACCAAATGATTGCCCATGTACTCCAGGTAGATGTTATACATATATTTATATATTTAACAAGTTTGTGTACTTGACAGAACTCCAGCATAACAGCCCATAACATCTAGAAACACCTGAGTCGAGTCCAAAGCAGGTAGAGCACAGGCTCCGTTAAGGTGGTTGAGGATCCGAATCCCATACAGGCTTAAGGCTGAAAACCAGTGTTCTGAAGGGTTGCCACTTAAGAAAAGGCTATATACAGAGCTTTATTGTAACATTTAAAAGGCTATACAAAGCTTTATTTTAACATTTAAAAGAAAACTACATATTCATTCCAACAGCTTTCCCAGGCCTGGTGGCCCAATAAGTTACACACACACTCAGGCACTTGAAGGCTATGGACACAGGTGATCACTGGGGAGGTGGCCAGAGTGAGAACTTTCCCACGGTGAGACCCCACAAGGACATTTTGGGGGTCACAGGCCATGGGAACTGTTGCAGTGGAACCTTCCTCCAGATTACTGAACCAGGAAAAGCAGCATGATTCTTGCTCAGGACGCAAGGCCAGGGACTGCCTGCTCAGCAGGGATGATGCCCCCGCAGTCTTGATGGAGCATTTCTCACAGCTGCACAGGGGCCATGGCTCCGAATTCTCTAAGACGATTTGCTAGTTAGCTCTTTGGTTTTTTGGCCAGTCGAAGACTTTGAGGAATTAGCTGTGATCCAGGGGTGCTCAAGGACTTCCGCTAGTGTTAGCCTCTGGCTTGCATTGTGCTTTAACAGTCTTGAAATGAGGTCCCTGGCTCCTTCAGTCACAAAGTCGGGGAATGTGAATTCAACCTGAAATATAAATGATACAAATGACATGGGTCAGTGTACAGGAATAAACAGCAGCCCTTGGCAAGAACTGAAAGTGACACCCTACCCGTGATATCCTTCTATAGGTCTCCTGGTAGGTCTGTGCCTCAAAGGGGGGCATCCCAACTAGGAACTCATAGCAGAGGACACCCAGGCTCCAGAGGTCCACCTTCTCATCGTGCATCCGGCCCTCAATCATCTCGGGGGGCAGGTAGTCCAGGGTGCCACACAGTGTGGTTCTCCTGAAAATGAAGGAGGCTGGGTTGACACTCTGACCTACATGGCAATGTGGCATGAGCACCCCACCCCCTGCTCAGTGCTGTCAGACAGGTGCTCACCTACACCCCCACTTTGATGAAATGGATGGCGGGGAGTGTATAAGGTCACACACTAGCCATCACGCTTCCCCAACAACAACTCCAGAACCTCTTGGAAAATCTCTCATCCCAGCAACCCTATCAGGACAGTCTGGAGAACTTTGGAGGCCAGTCTGGGCTTTGAAGCAAGAACTCATCTCAGAAAACAAAGCCGCTATGTAGTGTTCTCCGTAAATATAATTTGGAGTTCTACATGAGCTCTCAGTGAAGCAACGCTACCATCCTAGGCTGGGAATGTCGGCAGATCCCTGTAATTCCAACATCTAGTGGGATGAGGCAGGATTGAGAGAGGGTCAAATCCAAGGCCAACCTGGGCTACAGTGTGAGCCTGTGTCAGGGACGCAAGGGATAGAAAAGCAAAGTCATAGAAATGTAAGGGTCTACAAGATGAGAGGTTCACTCCAGCTGCTCTTGGTTTGGGGCTTAGAAATTTTCTATTTTACATGTGTTTTGTCTGCATGTCTGTACACATGAATGTTATGTCCAAGGAGGCCAGGAAAGGGCACTGTGTCTCCTAAACCTGGAGTTACAGAGTTCTGAGCCACCACATGGGTGCTGGGAACTGAACCCAGGTCCTCTGCAAGAGCAGCCAGTGCTCTCAACAGCTAAACCCCTCTCTAAACCTTTTCTTTTTAAAGTGCTTTACTAGCCTCCAAGGAGCAATTCCCGACCTCAGCCTTCTAGCTGCTGCTGGGATTACAGGAATGCCCCACCACACCTGGCTGAGATTGTTTGTTTTAGTCTTACCAGGCTGGCCTCAAACTTGAGATCTCCTCTCAATTCCTGGGATTAAAGTATGCACCATCACACTGGGCTTGGTTAGCCTCTCTCACCTGCCACAGAGGGAGAGTGTGTGGGGGTAGGGGGGTGTTCTGATTTAAAAACAGCTATAAAACATCATGGACAACTAGAGAAATCAAGCTACTAAGAATTCAGCTAACCATGGCGGTCACAATGGTGGTGACTGTGCAGGGCACCTGTCTTACAGAATATGTACACTGAGGCATCGCGATGCTGTGGAAAACTACCCACAAAGCCGACGCCACGGTGTCCAGGGCTCTGGAATGTTGCTGTGGGCTGCAGTGCTGCCATCACCAATTTGGCACTTTTGATCCATTTGTGTTTTGAAAGCCATAGCTGGAACAAGCCAGGAGCAGACAATGGAAGCTAATGTTGCTGAGATACTGCAGGGCATACTCAACCATCCATGCCTAGTGCCTCACAAGCTCTCTGTGGAAATCTCAAAAGATGGGCCCCAAAATCCAGCATCTCTGATGGGGACTGAATTTGAAAGGCAGCTGGAGCGGCTGGCAATCCCCACTCCTCCTATCGTCTCGCCTGAATCCTGCAAGCTGTCTCTATCCTGATGCCACCACTGAACAGAGCACAGTCCAGGCTAACCCAATCGCACAGTGCTGATTTCACTGGGTAGCAGAAGTGTCCACTGATGTCATCAGTTCAAAAAACCCTGCCCCACTGCAGCTGAAGACAAACAGAAGTGACCTTAAACTGCACTAACCATTTTTTCTTTTTTTTTTTCCGAGACAGGGTTTCTCTGTGTAGCTTGGAGCCTGTCCTGGAGCTTGTGCCTCAAACTCAGGCTAGCCTCGAACTCAGAGATCTGCCTGCCTCTGCCTCTGCCTCCTGAGCGCTGGGACTAAAGGCTGTGCCACCTCTTATAACAGGCATTAATCTTCAAGACTACATTTATTTGCGTGCTTTGTGTGATTACGTCGAGAGAACATCACAGAGCGAGAGGTCGGAGGACAATTTGGCCTGACTCAGTTCTCTCCTTCCACCAAATGGTGCCAGGACTGAACTGGCTCAGCAACAAGCACCTTTATTTACTTACTGAGCTTTCTCCTCCAGCAGGAGCATGCTTGAAGATACCCCATTCACAAGCTGGAGAGATGGCCCAGCAGTTAAGAGCACTGGCTTCTCTCCTAAAGGACCTGGGTTCAATTCCCAGCCATATGGGGCACTTCACAACTGTTTGTAGCTCCAGTTCTAGAGGATCTGACACTCTCACAGACATGCATGCAGACAAAACATCAACACACATAAAATAGATTAAAATTTAAAGACACTCCATTCACATGAAATATGAAAGCTATTTAAACCCAACTTCAATTTGCAAAGGTTGTCTCCTTTTCAACTGCTGCCATTAGACGACATCCTTGCCTCAGCTTGAGGAGACAGTAAAGGTCTAATTCCTGCTGCTGACACAAACAGGAGTCAGGCATCCTCAGAGCTGCACCAACACTGCATGGTTTCCAAGTTCTTAAACAACTGGCGTTTTGCTCTGCTTGCCACCCCAGTTCAAGTACCCCCAGAGTGCATCTTTGTTTATTGATCATACATCAGCCAGACCTCTAAGTTCATTGCCCTCTTCCATTAGCCTCTCGGGATATTCAGAGCCTAAAAGCCAAGGCCTAGAGTGCCAGACCCCAAAATGGTCACCAAAAAAAGCTTTATCAGAACTACAGTGGTTCCAAGTATTCCTAGGTCAGCCAAGGCCCCTTATTTCAGAGTAAACTAGCATTTACTCAACAGTCCCCACCCCCACCCCATCCAGGGCTTCCACCTCTGGAATCCCATACCTGGAAGATGGAGCATGCACAGACCACCCGAAGTCTGCGATCTTCAACTCTCCATTTGGCCCAAGAAGCAGGTTCTCTGGCTTAATGTCTCTGTGGATGACTCTCTTTGAATGGCAGTAAGACAGAGCATTTGCCAACTCGGTGATGTACTGTTGGGGAAAAAGCATTGAAGGCAGGGTTAGCTTTATGTAAAGCAGCTAGGCAAGTGTGAAAGTTGAGCCAATGGAGACTAACTAACACGGTTTTCAGCTTTTGAAGCAAACACTGTAGACCATAAATATAAACACAACTACAGACGGACAGACTCACCAGTAATGTGAGCTTGTAAGGCAGGGAAGGCACCGGCTATAAGATGGAATTACGGTCCCACCAGGCACCATGGAGGAAATGCACCATTAGCACTAAAACAGTTTAGCAGTCTTGAAACATTAAAAGGCCCTGACCAGGTACAGACCCCGAAGGAAGAACCCCGCAGTCTGCTCTGCATCCCATAACAGGAGATTCAAGATACACATGCTAAGTTTAGTCAACATGAAGTCCCGGGGCTAGGCTGTGTCTCAGTGCAGCCCTGAAAGTCAGCTGCACGAGGCCCCTCAGTCAGAGCTGACGCTAGCAGTGTGTCCCACTGTCAGATGCATATGTAAGTGGAAAAAAAAAAAAAACTTGGTTTTCCCAAAAGAAAGTAAGGCAGAAAAAAGTCCTTGTCAAACAGGATATTTTTCATTC